ACTGGTGAAATGATACAATCAATGGAATGCTACATAAAAATATATAAAATATGATATTTCTTTGTAAGCAACATACATGAATAAATTCAAAAATATAAAAATATGATCCATAAACCAATATATATATATATATAATTTAAGTTTTTAAATATCTTAAAATATCTTGAATTTGCAGGTTGTTATTACTTGTGTCTATTTGTCCTCTTAAAGCTTCATGAGGTCCTATGTGGGACTTGTAAGAGGTGGCTGGATCTAGATTATGTGATGCTGGGATCATGGATGTATGGTTACTAATTGGATCCTCTGATTAGTTTGGTATAGTTTTGGGTGGGATGAAGGGTTTCAGTGCTATCCACCATGAGGGTGTGTGGCCTATGTGAAGCATACAGGATAGAAAAAGGACTAAACTTGCTTATTTCTTGCTACTTGCTACTTTATGCCTGGCCTGCCTTACCAAGGACAGTTTCTCCCCTGCCATGCCACTCTGCCTTGCAGCCTGGCCATCATGAACTGACACCTCTACAAATTGTGAAACAAATAAACTTTCTTCTTTTAAATTTGGATGTTGGGTATTTTGTCTCAGCAATAACTAAGACAGAGAAATTAAATAGGAAGAAAAAATTTCACTTAATTTGAGGGCTACTTTTTTCATTGGAAAGCTTACAATATTTTCTTGTTTCCAACTTTTGATTGCTTGAGATATAAAGTCTATATGGAAAAAAAAGTATTTAGAGTCCAAAAAAATGTCAACACAGTAACCACTTCCTTTAAGAAACCTCATTTTTCTCCCTTAATATCTTGTAATTTTCTCCTCCCAATTATAGTCTTGAGTTTAGTCATAGTAATTCCTTTGATTTTAAGTTTTAGTAAAAAAAATTAATATATTCATCTGAACAGCAAAATAGAGTTCTGCCTGTTTTGTAAACTTCAAATGAATGCAATCATAGTATTTGTACTTTTGTAAATGTGCATGTTGTTTCCTTCACTTTCCTTCACGATATTCTATTTCAGATAGTCATTCATACTGGTTGTTATTGTAGCTATATTCATGTTATTATATTGGTTTACTTTTTATCAGCACATGCTTGTGATACATAGTTATCATATTCAGTTTGGAAGATTGGTTCCTATCCTTACTACATCTTAGTCACTTTTACTTTCCTTCCCTTTCCTTATCCTCCTGTCTCCCTTTGTCTTTAAATTCCCTTTCTAAATCCAAAAGTATTTACCGTTTCCCAATGTTTATATATTTGATTTGATTATCGTCACTATTATCATGATTATTTCTATTGTAGTTATTGTTATTTGAATTTTAAAGTCAGGGTCTTCACAGCCTAGCCTAAAAATCATAGCAATCCTCCTGCTTCAGCCTCTCAAGTGATGAGTTTGCAGGTGTGTCCTCCACATCCACCCTGATTTTGTTAATTTTTAATGTGTAATATTTTAGGTATTCTTAGGTTCCTACAAATTATAAAACTGCTTAATTTTGTTTATTTCTAGAAACAAAGTGTTTTTGGCTTTCTTATTCCATCAAAATAGATTTACATATATGTTACATATGAGAAATGCAATTTCTGGTTTCTTCCAATGATTTTCCACATTGAAAAATTGTTTATTTAAATCAGGGTTTGCCACACACAAACTACTTCCATAATTCTATCATACATGAAGTGGACATATATTTCTATATCTTTCTTAGAATTCTAGGTTCTCTTGTATTTTTTGAGTCATTTTTAAATACATTTTCCCAGGAACTTAACTGCAAAAACCAATGAGACACATTTATCTCAATACTCTATTACTAAATCTCACAGCAATGTATGAAAAATTATTCATTAAGCAAGCAAAAATTACAGTAATATTATATCTACAAATATTTAGAAAGTTTGTAAGAAATTTAACGTTTCATCATTTACATGAACATGTGTTTAAACAAAAAGAGTAAATTCAAAAAAGAAAAATATGTATACTTTCTGTTAACCATACCTGAATCTTTACCTATTTGAAATGATTCTTTTAAGGGAATAATCTTGGCAAGGTATGACTTGAAACATAGATGAGTACTCTAACGACCCAGCCTGTTAGTCTATGACTTTAGAACTCATATCAGTAAATGATTTGTTTATCTAGAGAACTGGTAACTTATAAAATAATGAGGATTTTTCACAACATGGATAAAAACAATACATATACCTATGGGCCAGCTGCCTGATACCACAATATAACTGCAACCACAATCTTCCAACCTACTTCTATTCAGGAACCAAGTATGCATCTATCTTATGCTTCAGAGTGAATACAATTTATTCAGTCACAGCACAATTTCTAAAGCTGGGAACATCGATTTTCACACTGTCTTAAAATGCCTGTATCTATCTCCAGGTATCAACCTGTAAGTAAGAGGAAAAGAGGAAAAGATACCTCAAAATCCCACATGACCACGTAACAAGAGAAACACTAGGTTCATATTCTAAATCCACCAGTTCTGCAATCTACCAATGAATAAATCATCTCTTACTATAAAGCAGTTTCATAAATACAATTTGAAATATATATATATATATATATATATATATATATATATATATATACCTTATTGGATGAGTAAAATTCTAGAGAGGTAAAAACATATTTTCTCCCTGTGCATGATCCTAGTGATCTTTGTTGCAATCTTAATTTTCTATATTTGTGATAAAGAGAAAATATATCTTTATAAAAGGAGATGAAATTTTGACAACTGAAAGCTATTTGGTCTAATTATTTTCACAGACTTGATATTTTTCATGCATCACTAATGCCTCTCAGAAACTATGTCAATATAATATGTCAATCAATGTATGACAGTAAGAATAAGCACTAAAACAACTTGGATGATAATTTTATGAAATCATAGGGTCTTTTAAAGTTTTAAATCAAACACTTAAATTTGAAAAAAATGATTTTCACTTATGTCTTAAGTTCACTAATTCCACATTTGTGTTTTATGACAATTAATTTTAAAATATAAAATCTCTAATAATTATTTTTGAAGATATATAAAAGAATGTGAACAAAATAAAAAAGTAATATGATCTCTGGATTTGAAATTCTCTTGCCTCTCAAATATAAGGTTAATCTCTGGAGGAAAAACTTTCATCAACTATGCTGTACAAATAGGTAGATAGAAGTCTTTAAAATTTAAAAAAAAATAGTTGAACAAATGAAATGCCTTACATTAACAAGACTATAAGAATTCTAATGAATAGAGTATATCATTCATTTTATATCAATTACCAGTGATCATAGACCATCAGAAAACTTTAATTGGCTTCATAAGGAGTTATAACTGTGTTCAGTGTTAGGAAGGATAATCTTAACTCATTGCTCATAAATACATATGACACTCATATAAGTTTATTCAAGCCTCCAAGGTAAGGACCAAATTAGGATAAGGAGCAGAGTGTTTAATAAACATCTTGCAAATAGAATCCCATTATCACTAAGCAGGTTACATGACCTTGCAAGCAATTCTCAAAACATTTTTCATTCACAAGCTTTTAGTACTGTAATATAAATAAAACCTCCTTTATTTAGTCCAGAAAATCTAGAAACATGTCAAGCCATGTTTGCACCTCACAGCTGACTGACTCATATTCTGAACCACAGCAATCACACTTGAGACAACACCTCACTTCCCCGGATAGAGATGTCACTACATCATGGAGACGTGCCCTGGTATCAGTTTGCTGACAGACTGCTACAAATTCTCTTGCTGAAATATGAGACATTCATAAAGCTTAAATTCAAGTAGTTTCACATAATCCGTAATGACAAACTGACACAACCAACAAGTGCTTATAAAAATGAATCACGAATCATAATATCTTGACTGCTTTAGCTGAACTTGAAAGTGTGCAATATTTTTATTTCATTAATAAATTAGACTTTTTTTTACACATGTGACACTAATTTGGTTATAAGGACTAAGAAATGTATTATTTAAAAAGACGCATGACATGATGTTTCCTGGAACTTGTTCAGTACACTCAGTCTTTTCTGTAAATGTGGATTGCTGATAAGATTTATTAATTTCTCTCATATAAAAGACAACTGCAGATATGAAGCATAGTGCCCTCTGGTGCACATACAACATAAAATAAAAACTGTATGTACTCTTTACATAGATAACAAACAGCAAAAATGGAAAACAAAATTTTCTTTTAGAGAAATGCTAAAGCAGCCACTGAGAATTGTAAACTGTTGCCACTAAGAAATGCCCAACGTGATACTTTTACATAAAATTGTTTATAAGCCACAGATCAATACAATCTAATTCCTTCAGATTACCACTTGTAAAATCCTCTACTTAATGGATTCACAAGGCTTTCAGGGAGCAGGTAGCCTTTGTTGGATTTAATATATGTCTCCTTTTGTATAACTTTAGATTTCAAATATATAGAGAGGAGTAACAAAAGTTAAAAGTTGTAGATCGTAAAATTCCTACTTTTCTCTTTGTTCTTGCTATCATGTCCTATTTGTCTGCTATTCCTTTTCCATTCATTCAATTACTGTGTCTTTTTAACTTTTGAATGTACAATTACTTTTCAGGGAAAAAGGGGAGGAAAGATGAGAACACTTGACTTTTCTGTGCTAGTGGAAGATGCCATTTCCATTTAGGCTGAAAAGGGTAGCATAGTAAATTATAAGGAAAAGCAATTAAAGAAAATCATTTAAAATTTTTAACTAGTTTAAATGAGAAACACAGCCTCAAAGAACATTAGCATTTACTTTAAAGCAATGTAACACTCTAAAATTGAAGACTGATATGCAAATGGTCACCACTACTTATTTTTCCCCGCATGTGGCACACCTATAAGAAATGATTTTAAATAGCCCGCCAGATTACCGTGGTTCATTATCAGTAATCACCCTCCTGAAACTTTCCTTAGAGAAATTTCTGATTCTTATTTCTGATTCTCTAAGAATGAGATCTCTGTAATTGCTTTCCCTTTGCTTCATACCTGTATATCTTGTATCTTGTGCTAAATCCCTGCCGGCTTCTGTCCACAAAGTCAGTGTATTCCTGTGAGCGATGGAAAGGTCCCTTATCAGAGAGGAGCCAGTCGAAGGGGCTTGTGGCATGCTGATCCGACAGAGTCGCAACTGCTAACACCCAGCAATGAAGACTCAGTGCTATCCACTCCCATAGAGCCATCGGAGAGAAGAGTTCAGCACCAGCTCTGCTCCGCCATACCATGCTTCCACTGGGGATTGGCAGCCTTCATGCTCTCAGCTTTCCTCAACACCTAGACAAAAGGCACAGGCAGTTAGCTAGCGCCTGTTAGGTCTGATACTGTTTTAAGTTAGATGATAGCAAAAGCAAGCAAGAAGCAAAACAAAACGATTTCTGTTTTTCAGAGTTACAATTTTTATCAATCTTGAGCACTTTTAAAACATATAATGAAGAGTGTCACTGAGTTATAATAAGCTTTCTTACAGTAATACCATCCTGTAGATCATTGTGCTCATTGAGCAACAGTCAGATATTTCAACTACTGTCAACTTTTTTTTTCTTAAATGGTTTATTAAAAAACTGATCCTTTGAAAGAAAAACGTTTAAGTAACCAATTTTGTTACGTTTTAATAATAGCTATATTTGATTATTTATAATTGTCTTATATAAAAGAATTATACATGAATTAAAGTTATTCAGGCAGTTATTTTCATTACCTAAACTTGGAATGAATATATAAGTTGAATAATACATTAACATGAAAATACATATGTGTTTGCATATGTGTGTGCGTCTATCTGTCTAGCTAGAGGTAGACTGACAGATCTGTGGAACTGGGAGTGAAGATGGTGCAGGGAAAGAATATTTTCCCAAATTGTCTTTTTCTTTATTGTTTTAGAGAAACTGTTTCATTGATTATATAGACAGATTCACAATTAAACTATTTCTAAGGCCTTCGACAGACAGGCATTTACTGTGTTGTATTTATGAAAAAATCATATCACCAAAATTCATATATATATATATATATATATATACTCAAAAATGCAGATGATTCATAAGCTATGAAATCATATACATTGTATTAAAGCCATCTAAAAACAAAGATGATACCAGTTGGTATGGAATGAATAACTTTATGCAAAGTGGCGGTTATATTGTCTATCAGCTGTACAAAAGAGTCCTGAAATGTTTGATTTCAATTTTACTTTCAGTCCCCATCAGTCATTTAAAGCAACGATATTTGTAAAACATAAACTATAGCTATATAGATCCTGGTTAATGGGATTATTTAATTATAAGAGTTTAGCCAGTAAAAACTCTTTTTAATACAATAGAAACTCACAATATAAAGTATTTTATATAGCAGTTACCATATTTCTCTAGTGTTTAAAGACACTGAGACTTAACTTTTCAGCTTATGGTTGTATATATTTTTAAAATTTGATTCTTAACTAATTTGATGTGAGAAGTACACTGCAGCAATTTGGTAACAACAGGTTTTCCAAAGGCATAAAGTGTGACCTAGATCATTAGACTCACTATGTTATCCACTAAAAAATAAACAGACAATATGCACATAATATATGAACTGACCCAGTGATGTGGGTTATTCCACTCTGACAATTAATAGATACACTGTAGAAAGTTTACATATAAAGACATTTTAAAAAATGACTTATCATCAGAAAACCTAACATGGTATAATGAAAAAATTTTAGACAGTAAATTATGAACCACTTTCAATCACTATATAAAGGCACCACTGTCAAGGGATTCAACTCATAACATTAAATGCTACTGAAAAGACAAATGCATCCTATAACTTTCTGCTTGGAAGTTGTTTATAATTTACCACTTATTATTACTCCTTCCTACTCCCTTCCCCACTTTTAAGTGTTAAAGATCTGAAAATAATTGAATTAATTACAACAGGGTCACACACACATTCTTCAAGTTCTTTTTCTTAAGTAAGGATAAACTGCTCTTTAAAATGCATTCTTTACATTAATTCTCACTAATATTGAAGTTGGCAAATTTAAAATACTGAACTTTTAAAACATTCTCTAATGATTCAAAGAACTGCATCTATTTATTTTTGTAGATAATATAATATATATTATTCTATTAGCTTATAAGTATTAAAATGTTTTATTACACTAAAATATAGAAACATACATTAAAATGCATGGCACCTATTATATACATCACAGATTAATTATCTTGCTGTTATATTTTTAAATAAATTCTGGCCCTGAAATAAGTGTCTATTAAATATAAGCAAATTAGTGATAATGAGTTAAAATGTTTTTAATTACACATTTTCAAAAGTTTTTCCCAAAAGTTATTTATTGTTTCAATTCCAATTGGTAGAATGTATGATGTACAAAATGCTTGCAACGTGGAAATCACTGTAAGAAATTTTGGGAAGAAGGCGGAACACAGGAATGAAGTGCATCTGTCTAAAAGAATTTAGAGTCCACTGAAGAGGCCATAGTTAAGACTGCATGTGATCATTCTTATTAGAATCATATTCTTTGATCAACTAATACTCCATACTGTGCATCTTTCCCTTTTTCTACTTTTCTAACTGAATATTTCCACAAGATCATATTTTTAACCCTCCCCCATGTTCTCCTATCTCCCTACACATATCTGCTCAATCCACATGCATCGTTTAGTGCATGAGTTTTTGTTTGTTTGTTTTTGTTTGTTTGTTTGTTTGTTTGTTTTTTGTCTTTTTCGTTTTTATCGGTACCAGGGATTGAACTCACGACTGCCTGCTTGCAAGGCAGGCACTTATGCCACTGAGCTAAATCCCCAGCCCCTGTTTAGTGCATCACTAATGTTCACTATCTTCACTTCCGCTCTACTTGGCTGATTCATGCCCTACCACCTACACTGCCGCAATAGTCTCTGCACTAGATTGCTGCATCAGCTTCGCAATGGATCTTTCTAAATCCAGTATGGATCTCTCTACACTGTTAATACAGTCACAACTATCTTAATAACTAGTTAAATCTGAAGAGATAACTCCTTTATCCCCCCTTATCATAGGCTTTATGTGTAGGAAAATACCCAAATCCTTTGAAATAACTTATAAAAGTGTCTTTTCTTGTTAGTTCTTCATCTGCATCTCTTCTATATGTGCATATCTTTACCATTTCCAATCAGTGTGAAAATGCTTCAGATATAATTTTATTTAATAATCCACACTTTTCTTTGTCCCTCAGAGCCTTTGATTGTGCAGTCTCTACCTGAAGCTGCATTGCTACTTGGACCTGCCTAAACTTGACTTTCCTTGAGTCTTCAGACTAGATTACTTCATCCACAAAGCTTTTGATGACTTTTCTAGATTGGTTGGTGGTATTTGATGTTTCCATAGCATCCCTTTTATATAGCACATTTACATTGCAAATTTATTTTTATGCTTGACTTATTTATCTGTCTGCCTCCCTCCTCAAAGTTAGATTAATTTCAGCATAAAATAATTGGTCTTTTATTTATGAAAAACAAAAATGTAGCAAACTACATGATATAAAGTTAATAAGTATTAATTGAATGATTGAGAGATAATGGTTACATAAGTAGTAAATTGAAATATAAGATATAGAGAGCCAGATTAAGTTTTTTTTTACATAAAAGAAAAACATTAATGAGTTTCACTTCATGTACATCTCAGGATGATGCTTGTTTTGATTATTGAGAAATAGAGAAAATGAAGTTCTGAGATAAGCATCTATGGCCACATTAAAAATGACATTAAATTTTTATCAAAACAAAATATTCTTAAAAATGATTTAGTATTAATTAAAAATGTTAAATAAACCATCAGTATTAATTTTGGATGCAATAACATTATTATGATAAATGCATATATTTAGAGTAGTAAGAACTTTTCAATTTTTATTTTATAATTTCTAGTGGCCATAGTCATGTATGAAAGTCAAACAGAGATTTGATTTAGAAAACACATTTAAATCTCACTGGAAACACGTGTACACTGTGCAATCACTTTCAGATTTAAGGAAGAATAATTCAGCAGGGGAACATGTTGTCTCTCCCATCTTGGAAGACCATATAAAAAAGGTAACTGTGATTCAAGTCACTCTCCCCCTATACGGGGAAAAGATGTCAAGGATAAAGTGACACACTGCTCATTATCTTCAAAACAAAATTCATATTAGGCCTTGCTGATATCCAGACATTTCACTAATATTTTACTTTTTCATACACAATGTGTTATACATTAATATATCTAGTTTTCATTTAGAAGAAAATGATGTTAAAGAAATATAAATATGCAACAGAGCAAGGATAGTGGTGATACTCCTGAATTCAAATGAACAGCCCACTTCCTGTATTATACCACATTAGCACCCGAATGGATCAACTGAGGATTAAAAAAAAAAAATATTTAGTAAGATTTTGTTTCTCTTTTGAATGATATAAAAATTAAATACTAAATATAAGAAATATAAATAAACATTAAAATAGAAGGAAATAATCTCAGGTTATAATAGACAATTGATGTGAGAAATTATATACAGATTTTCAAGCTGTATCTGTTTTATATAATTTAAGGTTTTTTCATAGTAAATCACTTCAATCAGTCCTTTACAGAAATTTACTAATTGTCTTTGATTGTTCAACTTTATTTAGCTTTACAGTGCTACTAAAATATTAAGAAAATTCCCTGCACAATATACATATAAAAGGTATCGTTCATATTCAGGGTCATACAATAAAAAATTTCAGCAAAATGAGGTGACTTGTAAATTTTGCTGAAATTCAATTATAAAATTTTAAGTAAGGACAGTTTTCTTATGTTGCCATAATGAAAAGACTATGAAGTTCATTTGTAACAGATGTCATTTTAAGGAACAATATTTTGAAGTCAGAAGTATAGCTAAAACATAAAGAACCGTCATTTTCCAGGAAAGAGTCTTCAATGTGAAGGATAAAACTTTAAAGGCATTGCTTTTCTAGATCAGCAATTAATACTCAGTGTTAAATTAGAACATATCCATTCTTACATTTACCATATAGTGTATTACTTTTTATCTTGTAGGTACATATGGATTTTTATTTTTTAATTTTTGTGACTTGCATACAGTGTGTAGTAGGACAAAGAAATGTTTTTATTATCATATAACTATAAATACATATTGTGCTTAGTTATCAAATGGTTTACTAATTATTTAGGTATGTGTTAATTTATTGCTTTCATGAAATTCTGATTATGAACTATAAATGTTAAATTTCAGATGACTTAAAGCTGTTCTCTCTTAA